ACTTAGTGACATAAAATTGCATAAAAGACCTAAACCAACAAATAAGTGTAGCCAAATACTGAGATAGCTTATTCCTCTGACATAGACCTCAACTGTTGTCCAAAAGCTATTTAAAACACATCAATGAGAGGTGTTGTTGACATGTACCAACATGGACACTGTAGTTAATTTTGATTTCATCCAACATACACTAAATAAACATATTAACAATGTAAATTGTAAAACTCCCTATTACTTCATCTGTGGTTGAAGTTAATCCCCAACAACGTAATATTTGCTAAAAACTGCAGTGCCTTGATATTTAAGGAAATATTAATATTTCTGACCTAATATAAAAAAACCTGTATATCTTCAGTGGGAACAAATGGGTGTCACTGACAGCCTGGGAACGTTGCAAAGTATTAAGAGACCGATTAACACGTTGTTGTTTTGGTCTTTTAACTGGATTTGCTGACGATAATTGTTAGAGAAATCAAATAAGTAAGAGAAGAAAAAGAAATAAAAGACATATATACAATATTGTCAGACATATCCTTCTAGTTATATAGACACACTTTCCAAATTTCTTGTTATAGAAGGAAGATAAGTAGCAACAACTATTCTAGAACTCATCAATGTAAAGGACCTTGCTCATGTGATGCACATTGGTCACCAACAGGGGGAAGCATTTCACTGTCACTGTCAGCCCAGAACTGACCCTTCTCTTATACACAGTTCACAATTCTTCTCATCCAGTCAACTGTAGTCATGAGCATCCTGGTTCTTGGTCCAGTTAAGGTGTCTGTCAGCGCAGTACTTCCTGAGTTTTAATGTTCCATCCCCAAAAACATCCTTGTGTTTGTCCACTGGTTTCTTGGACCATGCATCCTCCTGGGCACTTTAGCTACTCTATTAGTGTTTTTAATGTTCACAATGCATCAAATCTGCAGTATATCTTGTGTTTAACTGAAAATGCTCCGTTAGAATTGCACTGAGCATGCGTGTTGTGTGAAGCATCACACATTTTTTTGCAGACAGAACCATGGCAATGGCAGTGGGAGGGAGACAAAGACAGATGGACTGTGTGTGTGTATCCATGCATGTGTGATCGTGTGTCCGTGTGTGTGCACGCATGTGTTTTTGTATCGACGTGTGCTTTTGTCAACATGTGTGTGTGTGTGTGCCTCAACACAGATGTAGCAAGAATACTGCTGTTGCTCTTGCTGTACCCCTTTCATGAAGAAGGTAGCAGTGTGGCCTGGCAGCTGTTATACCGAAGGGGGGGGGGGGGTCGAGTTAATTCCAGGTGAAACATTTCCTGGGAAAAGCAGAAAACAGAAGAATTGCTGCATTTGTGACATTAAGAAATCTATGATGTCGAACAGAAAAGAACAAAACAAGACACAATAGAATCCATCAGAATAGAAAAGAATAGGATGTCCCCATAATCTGCTACAACAGAAAATTATCATTCGCTCTGCTCTTTGTCTCCCCTTTCCATACAGTTCCATAGGCGTAACATGTTATGGATGTAATCTCTAAGAGGATTCTCTCTGCTTGGTATCATGGTACATGTTAATTTCAGCTCTTTATGTTCCTTATTGAAACAGACCCAAGATCTCCCAGGCCTGCCAGCCAGCCAACCAGCCAGCCAACCGTCATCAATTCACCCCTAATCTCTCCCCCAAGTCCTTTTACAGCTAAATCCATTGTGTCGGTCATTGTCATCTGATCATGTGTGACCCTGGCAGCTTTATAGCTGGTGCTTGGCAGCGTAGCATTGACTTTTGACGTCCATCTACAGGCAGATATGGGGGTGGGGGGCGAGAAAGGGATTCAAATTTGCCTCCGTTTTAGTGAATTTAGGGTTGTAATTTTGCTTGATTACAATTATTTCGAAATTTCAAGAATGTCTAACATTCAGATTTCAGCTTTGGATGGAGCTGGAGCTGAAGAGACGGAGGAAATAGTGATCAAGGACATAGTATTTGTACTACTTACT